GAGAGGGGAAAACCAGAGTACCCGGAGAAAAACCTCTCGGAGCAGAGAAGAGAACCAACATTAAACTCAACCCACATATAACGTCGAGTCCGGGAATCGAACCCGGGCCACATTGGTGGAAGGCGAGTGCTCTCACCACTTCGCCATCCCTGCTCCCCCATCATCAACCAAACGGCGTCTCACGATGTGCTCAAACATGCATTTTGTGCGGCCTTTAACAACACTTTGTCACGTGGATTCTACGTTGTACTTGACTTTCTTATTAAGGAATCAGGATAAGCTTTTGCTAGTTCAGTTGTACATTTTATTCTCATTCAACACTTCAGTAAACATATATTACACAGAAAAGATCTTTCTAAACACGTTTCGTAAAATTATGCTAACTGTAGTAACGGTTTTATCGCACAGAAAACAGCTTTCAGACTCTAACATGAACTCAGCTTGTTAACAAATATTTCTTACGGACGTTTTTTTGTATCAGCAAGGTGTTATATTTACGTAAAATATTAATTTTTTTTTCTCAGAGGAATAATCTATTGTACAAGTTGCTTAGACCTTTAAGAACGACAGTAGCCTCTTTTGTCATATAGAGCGTTTTCACTCACCTGGCCAGTATCTATGCAAGTTTATTGGAGCAAAGAAAAGCGTTTACAAAGAAAGAAAGAGTGGCCGCCGTTTTTATTGTTTTAGGGCAACAATACGGCCGACCCGAAGTCATATGAAAACGCTCCATTGATAACAAAATTCTCTAACGTGATTGGCTATCACCAACCCTGATTTTAGCGTTAATAGGACTGTGTGAAAGGTCAATACTGTGCGAATTAAGGAATGGCTCATTACTGATATCTGGCTTTTATCCTTATTTTTCTCACCTTCTTTCGCACTGCCTTTATCTTTGATTATAACTGCCCGGATGAAATGATATTTTCTGTACTCACATGGCACTTTTTCAAGTCACATGATCAGTCACGCCCATAATTATGCAAACTTTTACATTTTAAAATTACACCACTTTACCAAACTTTCAAGTTCTCAACGTTTATTTTTTTGTATTTATTTTAATGCTAAACATGTCAGATTGATCGGGGAGTTAAAATATTTCAGTCATTACTTGGTAAAATCTACTCAGTCCTTCTCTAAAATGAAAACGTTTTAGACCGCAGAAAATAATTTCCAAAAACCCAGGCCAGTTCCATAAACTTTGTATTTGCAGTCATAAAAAGAAGAATATTTGATTAAATTGTATCTTGTGTAAATTTGCATTAAAATGTATAGCAAAAACGGGCGTGGCAAGTCACGTGACCTAGAAAATGCATCGTTCAAATCGAAAATGATATTCTTTTATAGAATTTCGAAAGAGTCACGCCAACTAAGTTTTAGTTGAAAAAGGTTTAATCCTCTTTGAACCAGACCACCCCCACCCCTACAAATTTTCCCGAGACCCATACCTTAATTAATTCAACCGCGAGTGAAACCCGTCCAGAAACTAAATAGAAGAAGTTTACTTAGACGGTAACGGTACATGACTATTTCAATCAAACTAAGTAGGGTGTGAATCGTGACCTGTCTCTGCCTCCTCTGACATTGGATTAATGGTGCGAAATCTGAAAACTAAGTGTTCTTTTAGAAAAGAACGAAAATCCCTCAGTGAGAACAAGTAAATGAAAAAATTGATAGCGCCGTTTGAGTAGGCTAAAACTGCACTTGAATAACGAATGAGGAAGTCGGTTTCATACCTAATGTCATCTTGTGTTGCCATGGTGTAGAATACCTGACCAAAATAAAAACAGTATGGAATAACAAATGCCAATACAAGTAAAATAACACTAACTGTTGCTCTTCTTTGAGCGGCCCTTAACATTTTTTTGATGGCATTGTCTTTGAAAACGTTTATACTTTTTTTTGTGGTTGCCATCACAGTTTTGATGAGACAAACACTTATTATTAATGTGACGAAACTCGGTATAATATACTGCATAGTTATGAAGGAAATGAAAATGATTCTGTATGGAAAGTACTGCTTGTCGTATTTGCAATCCAAAGTGTAATGAGTTGCGTTGTATTCATATCTTATTTGTGTAAAGGTACTTGCTGGAAGAAACACAAAAACAACCCCCACAATCCATGCAAGTAATACCAGTTTCTTTACGGTGGAATAAAAAAATGGGCGGGGAACTTTACGAGTTGAGAAATACTTTTCTATAGATATTATCAACAAGTTGTTCATAGTAACAGACGGAAATACGATTTGTAAGTAACGTGCTATTTTGCAACCCCAGTCACCCTCAAACACATCAATATAGAACTGAACGCAAACTGACGGGAGCGATATTAAAACACAGAGAACATCGGAAATGGCTAAACTTTTGAGATAGGTGTGGAAGTTTTTTTCTGATGACAAAGTCCTTATGAAAGACTTTATCCTTTTCTTTTTGTGAAGAAACCAGAGCATTAGAATACTTCCAACTAATCCAACAATTCCAGACATAGACATTGACATCGTCAACGCGAGCTTTGTCGAGGATGCTGCTGGGCTAAACACATAGAGTTTAGACTTTAAGTAGGTCCCACTCCTGGCTAAGGTTGAGATGCTGGTCGAAAAAATACTTGAGGATGTATTCATGTTTCCTGCGTTACTCCTCTTTCGCTCGGTGTTAACTCTGTTAGAAGATATAATTTCTGTTAAAATCTAATTATCAATGTTTCGCCTTTGTAATCGACGTTGATCTGACAGACTCGTCACTTGGCGTTACTTTTTATGAGAAAAGAAATTGAAAATAAATAAATAAATAATAGAAATATGTAGAAATAGAAAATGAAGACAGGTGCAGATGCAAATACATTATACAAAAATATAAATATAGATACAGATACAATTACCATTACAATTACAAATAGATTTTAATACAAATGTAAATTTGAACATAAATGATTATAACTTAAAAGGTACACTTTCACAAGGCGGCTTATCGTCATCCATATTTCAGATCGAATTGGAATAAAGCAATTCTATGCTATTGTTAGCGGAGAAAGGAGAACCGGCAGACTCCGAGAATAACCTCGACGAAACGAGGGCGAGAATCATCGTTTCGCCTCCGGGATTCAAACCCAGGCCACACTGAGGTAATCGCTCTTACATTATGTCCCTCGTTTGATCTCCTAAGATTGGAAGGATTGCTGAAAAGAAGTTCAGCGTTCGCAGTGACTAAAAGGAACAAGTTTTATGTTTACGCAACTTATGATCGTTGACGCAGCAGTTGCCATAATGACTTATTTCCGAATTCTAAAAACTCTCACTTCTAAACCGAGGCTAAGTGCAAAACCTTTCTTGTGAATATGAGTTTTATTTGCTTGAGAATAAAAAAATCATATATTTGTATTAATGGCTTCGTACTTAATCTCGCTTTGAAACTGAGGCTTGACACAAATTGGAAATGGCCTCAGATATTTATTTATTAATATCATAGGTGAAGAATTACTCCTTAATTTTGGCGCGAAATTTCAGCAATAATTTGTAATTTCACATGTGAAATTACAAAATTGCTATGGCAACCTTCCGTACGTCTCAGTGTCAAGATGGCGACAGAGTTTTAAAATGTCATGAACGAAGATGCCAGGGCATAAAAAGACGCTTTAGAAAACCAGAACACACGAAAGAGCACATCAAGAAGGATTCTATCAGGTATTTTGTCGAAAAATTCTGAACTTAAGCCAAATTTAAGCTCTAAACGTTCGAGAGAGGGGAGTTCTCGATCGATACGATCTAGGATAAACATGTCAAAAAATCCTAGATTGCTAACGTAATTTGTCACCTATGATATTAATAGGTAATCAAATGGTATACTCGTGAAATTAGGGAATAATTTCACTTGCGTTTTGTCCAAATCCTAATAATTTCCCTCGCCTAAAGGCTTGGGAAATTTAAGGATTTGGACAAAACGCGCGTGAAATTATTTCCTAATTTCACTTGTCACCAGTTGATTACACATACTCGTTTATTTTTATTATTTTGACGGATCCTAGAGCGGAACATAACAAGAAAATTCATTGATATCTGTTGAAGTCGATCAATCAATTAATTACTTACTTTCACCAAATTGTCCTGGCTGTTTATCATTGTATCACTGGAACACCAGCTTTCCTTTTGATTTTCCAATCTGTTTATAGGGTTGATAAGACAAAAAGAATTACCCTCTTTCGATAAAGATAAGGAAACCCCTGCAAATCTGGCAAGAACTTAAATTATCTACGCGACAAGCAAAATAAGTCATAAAAGCGAAGGATAAACGGCTCCTTAAAAGGACTAGCTCCCTAATTGCCGGTAGCTGCAAGATATGCTTCCCTATTTGAATGTACAACAGCCTTTATCTTCTGAACCCCTCAATGACGGTACGCAAAAGAAGCGAATTTAAAGAAACATTTCATAGAGAAACAAAACTTATTACATTAATTTTGCAGCAGGCAAATGTCTACTTTTAAACTATTTTTTCCATTTTCTCATGAACTTTGTTTAATTTTGGAAGTTACTTTTATGCAACCTACATTTGCCTTCTCCCATTTTTAGGAACTAGTTTTTGGTTTATTAGAAAAACAAGGATCCAAAATCAAAACAAAGGTAAGAAAGCCCTCGTTGTTTTCTATTTAAATCTACAGATGGCGTACCCAAATTATTCCCATTTGGAAAAAAAGGTACTCCTCAAAAACAGTTTATTTGGTGCATGCATGCTTCCGCCGCCGTCTTTGAGAAGTAACCGTTCTGCCTGTCCGATAATTTTCATCACTGGTGTTGAACATGCTGATGAGATTCCATTGTCGTATAACGGTTAAAAGCAAATTGTCCATTTGAATATTTTCATCTTCAGATTTTGTTTGTTTGTTTGTTTGTTCGATGTTACTTATTTATTTGCTTGTTTATTTAGGTTTTTTTCGTTTCGTTTTTTTTTTTGGCTTTTTAAAAACACAACATAAAGGGAAACAGCCTAAAAGAATCACTTTATGATAAATAATACATTTCGAATCTCCAAAGGTTATGTGACTAAACAGTCGCATTTCAACATATTGGCATTACTTCTTACAAATATTATAGAACAATTATTGGACGATGTTGAGCAAAATATCGTGATTTGTCAGTGGCGAGCAGATCAATAATTGATGTGCGAGACACTGGCAAATCACGATATTTTCTGATAACCGAGTTCAATAATTGTTTGATCATTCGATCATCAAGTTTGTTTTTCAATGAATATCTTCGGAAAGCGAAGCGATCTGCCTTTTTTCACGCATGAACGTGTCACCCGTGGTTTCGTTTACGCATCATTCAGCAGAATATTATTTGCAGCAAAACACAGTTGGATGACATTGCGCATGAGCAGACCATTACTTGTAGGCAGCTATTTGCAGGTCACGTGGTGGGCTTTTAGCCAATGAAAAGGAAGAAAAATTTGCATCGAATGATAATTCACATTGTTGCCTTCTGCCTAGCTGTTCTTGGGTGAGGTGCGTTCGAGACCGGACTTGACAAGAAGAGCTAAATTTGTTCAATAAATATGAATTAGGCGTTAATTGTATCTTCTCAGTGTATGTCGTCCGAAATTTTGAGAATAACGTCCGGAATTAGCCTTTATATCGTTCAAATTGGTTTCCCTTCGTAAATAATTTAATAAGTATCTCGGCAATCTTTTAAATAATGAGCCCGAAACTGAACTGTTGCGACAAAGTACCAGTTCTGGATAGTTAGGTGCTTACTTAGCCCTGAAAACGAGACAGTATTCGATCGTTATGAATGTAGGACGACGAAACAGCGCATTTAAAGCGGCTCGACTATATCATTCTGGGCAATACCTCCCACGTTCACGGTAAGCAATAAGTACGTTGCCGTTTAAAAAGTACTAGGAAATGATCACGCGGTATTTAAAATTAGTGAAAATATTGGTTATTGACATGGGATTTGTCATGATAGCAACGAATTAACATCTTTACCTTATGTTTTACCTACTCGCAGCCGATCAATGTTAGTGAAGTTTGAGTAAAATATATGAAAGCGTTTTTGAAGATATTTAAGATGAAATTTTTCATGAATAGAATGCGGGCCGTTGTATATAGAACTCGAAAAGGTAGCGCTTTCGAAATGAGGATCATCTCGAGGATGGATAAGCCGATTGCATTGCAAGAAAGTAGTAAGCAAGGAATTGCTCTAGCTGGCGCTTTTGTAAATATATTTTGGCCTACATAAATGAGTAAGCGAATAATTTGGAAACCGCTCGATAGATTATTTTTACTTGACATTCTCGAGATTTAAATCGTGATTTCATATGACCTTTAAGTTTCAAGATGATTACAAACGATGATGATCATGATCAATGATGGTGATGATGATGTCAGTAATGTTTCTTCTGTTTCTTCTTTCTTTAGGAAATATCGCGATCTCTGGTTTATGGGAGTCACTTCTTGAATTTACGCTTTTCAGAAATACAAAAAAAAAAGACATGAAAATTTTTCTCTTTCTTTTCTATTTCGATCTTTTCAAAGTTGACCTGTCGCCCTACTTTCAATTACACAAGAATTTTCATCCGCTTGTCGTGCTTTCGAGCAAACCGTTTGCCTCCAATTTGTTTTCGTATCAAGCCATAGTTCCTAGGCAACTTGCGTGCCTGCGTAAATTCTAGTTCTGTAATTTACCGGTTTACTTTCCCAAGCAAAATATGGTTGAACGGTTAATCGACACGAATAAACTTTCATTTCAGTACCTACTCTCTCCTTGGGTCTTGGCGAACAGACGATGTCTTGAATTTTCTGGACATCAATCTTACTGCTGTCGATTGCAATCATTAATATACCCTCTCTATCCCGTTTCCCGTTTTATGGTCATTATGGTTACGTAAGTACAGTACATTGTTACTAATATGCTGTCGCTGTACGTGGGATGGCATGTGACAGATTTGGCTGTTTCAGTCAGATAATACTTTTTCCTTCATGGGTTTTGTTTGAATTTAATGAACGTTGTTGCATAATCAGGCAGAAAAAATTGCAGTAGGTCTAATCAAACTCAACTATTCTTGTCTCGCTCGATTTCCTGAAAGCAAATCCCTTCTTTATTTATATTCAAATATGCAGACGACTGAACCATCCTTTTCCCATTTGAGATGCATGTTTTAAGCCCATGCAGAAGAAGAAGAAGAAGAAGAGGAAGAAGAGAGACAAGAGAAGACAAAGTAAAAGAAAGATGTGCACAAAGAAAAGACAAGAGAAAATAAATTAGAGTCAATGTGCAGCTGACAATTTCTTGGAATTTCCTGGTCTAGGATAATTGTCATTTTAATTTACGTTATTTAGTTTACGTATTTTGATAATCCCCCTTTTCAGTTAAGAATGAAATGGCCACCGAAAATAGAAATTAATCGACAGACTATTTCCGAGTTCCAAGAACTCTCACTTTCAAAACTTACGAGCCTAAGTGCAAAACCTCTGTTGTGAAAATGAGTTTTTCATGTCAATGGCTTC